GTGTTTTGGCTGCCCCATTCTCAGCCGGGGAGGGACGAGGGAGGTGATGGGAATTGGTGAGGGGGAGAGGGGTGGGATGATTATGAGAGGAGAGAGAGAGAGAGAGAGAGGAGAGAGAGAGAGAGAGGAGAGGAGAGAGAGAGAGAGAGAGAGAGAGAGAGAGAGAGAGAGAGAGAGAGGAGAGAGAGAGAGAGTAGAGAGAGAGAGAGAGAGAGAGAGAGAGAGAGTACGCCAGAGAAGATCTGGAGAGAGAGAATCATTGTGTATGGTAACGTCGAGCTGTGAGTGGACGTGTTGTAAACCGGCAATGTGAACAAGATAGGAAGAAGCAGGGATGATATTGCTGCCACTGACACACGCGGGGAAGTATGGAGCGAGTACATGGGTCGGACCAGAGCATCAGAAAAGAGGGCGACACACACAATTTGGATAGCAGAAAAGAGGGCGACACTCTATTTTAGAGAGATGGTGAGAGTCGGAGAAATAGCGGGGAGGAGGACAAAGAGAGGAGAGGGTAGAGGAGAATGTGTAGGATAACAAGAGAGAAGGGGGACATGTGGAAAGAGAGAGAGAGAGAAGCCATTAGGCCTGCAGGATCCCTGGCTGTGTTTTGGTATGTATCGCCTCGCCTCATTTCCCACATTGATTTTAGAATCAAACCTGTTTTAATAAGATTTATATATATATATATATATATATATATATATATATATATATATGATGAGAAAAAGAGAAATGTAATTCTGTTCTAGTATATTTTTGATGGAGTGTTTTCGATTAGAGCAATATATGGGAGCGAGGGTCTGGGACGCGCTACGTGGCGACTGGCTGACTTTTTCAGTGTGGCGAATTAGTTGATATGTGAGAATGATGCAACCAATAAAATGATAACAAAAGCTTCAAAATTAAAGGTTTAAAAGATTCATTGAAAATGCGCATATGTTTTATACATTTAAATATGGTTTTCAATGCACTTTTTTATATATGTATGCGAATTTTTATCTCTTGCCAGTAGAAAAATGTTCAAATATTATATATATATATATAATGGCATGCGCGGCACTAGGGACCTGTAACCATTATTTCCGTCTGGAAATCACTCTTAGCTCCTCACCACGGCCGGAAATGATATAAAAAACAAGATCACAAGTCATCGGAATATTCATAGATGACCAGCTTCATGCATATACCCACCAGCGCTACCGAATTATCGACTGTTTCCCTCCCTTTCGTAAGGACGTATATGCGATTTTCCCTCATTTACAACGGATCATAAGACGGCAATGATAAAGAGTGTGATTAAGCGCGAGGTCAGAACATAATCTATCTCTTTAATAATAAGGGTCATAATATGAATGGAGTGCGATGTTTGAAGACCAAAAGGGCGCACTACTTTCCCGCGCGGATTAACTGAGACTTGAAGTGCGGTCAGGGGCGAAACATGGCGTCCTACCCGCGTCAACTTGTCATCCCTCATCCACGCAGAACGCAAGAACGCAGAGCGCAAGCCCCGATGCGTTTTACATCTGCATTTTGTGTTACCGGAGAGATTCTAGGACGCTGCGGAGAGCATTCTGCTTTCAGTACACACAGAAATCGTCTGGGATGTTCACAGACGTTGGTTCGAATCCCCGTCACATCCCTTGTGAATTATTTTCATGAACTGTTTTTCAGATTTGCGAATGTACCAAAAAATTCATTTGTTCCGAGGAATGCGACTTTACGTAGAGTTGTTTTTCTCAGGAGACGTGGAATAAACTGCCTCAGACGACATGAATGACTATGGAACAATGTTGTTTTGTTCCCATTCCCATAGTACAAAGACGTTTTGCTTCAGAATATGTACGTTGAGAATCAAGACGGGGGGTACCAATGGCGGGGGGACTGCCCTTAACTATATGTTTAACACATCTCTAACCCTGTCCATGGAGGACAGAAGGAAATGTTATATATGCTGGTTAGCATTGTAAATGTGTGGCCACGTCTGTGGTAGAAAATAATAATAGTGAAAAATCTGTTTCTCCAGAAGGTATGGCATTCTTCCACGTTAACTCGATGAGTTCTGGGGCCAGATACACGAAGCAGCTACGCGCAAGTACTTCCGAACGTGCACATCTTTCCTCAATTTTTGATGGCTTTGACTACATTTATTAAACAGTTTACATGCATGAAAAACTTCCCAATCAACTGTTATTATTGTTATAAACAGCCTCCTGGTGCTTTGGAGTTCATTAACACAATTTAATAATTGTAAAGAAAGCTTCCAAATATGAGAAAAGAAAAGATGTACAGGTTCGTAAGTGCTTGCGTAACTGCTTCGTGAATCTGGTCCCACTCATGCGTTGGTGGCCTTCTACCCGTTCCTCATCTTCCTCATGTGCATCGCTGTAGTTCTCACTAACCACCTCGAGTCTCTTACACATCTTCCTCATTCCTTGCACACCACTCACACAGACCTACGACGACTTCCTCTACCTCACAATCACATCACAAACGGTTGGCACAAAGAAATCACATTAACATGATGTAATCACTGAGAAAATCGCGTTCGAGATTTATCACGTTAATGTTATATTCACACGTTAGTGTTTATTTATTACAGAATGGTTTCAAACCTTACCATCACCAAATAAGAGGCAAAACAAAAAACAACATAAGGAGGCCTGGTCGAGGACCGGCCGCCGCCGAGACGCTAAGCCCCGAAATCGTCTCAAAATAACCTCTAACCAGGGAAGAAAAAAATCAATCCTTAGATGGTATTATTCCGGGTATCCCTTCAGAGCATAATACCACCATCACTACAACAACCACCACGTCTCACCGTGGCCCGCCATTACCACAACTACCACTACTTCCTGGTAACCAGACCACACGAAGCGTGAGTACGCACGTACCTGGAGAGGATCTTGGAGACACAGCCGTGAGAGACGCGAAGTGAAGTGGCGGGAGATGTCGCAGGGGCGGACGCCGTTGTGGGCCAGCTCCACTATCCTCTGACGAACCATGTCTGGGAGCGGCCTCCCGTTGACGAAGACGCCGCCCAGCTGGTTCACCCCGCCGTGACCTGCAACGGCAGACATGTGGGTCACGAGTGGGTTCTCCTCACAGCCTTCTTCTATCCCACCTTCTCTCTCCCGGCTTCTCCTTAATCTGCGCCGCCGCCTCCTCCTCTTCCACGGCCGCTCCCTGCCTGCCCTCCACCTTTAGGAGCCATCTCGGCCAATGAGGACCTAAGCAGGGGTCATCAACTTCTCACATGGTGGAAGGTCTTTTGGATGTGAATGGTCTCGAGGTCTAGAGCACCACGCCAGTTTTTAGACGCCGACGAAAAACTGAATGAGGTCATTAGCGACGCCAACAAGGCTCTGATTAGGCTGGCTCTGTGGGCGATGACTGGTACGTAAGACACACACAGGCCGTTGAAACACCACTGTAATTTGATCTTATTTCCTATTCGTCTTAACCACCAGAATCTAACCTGACTTCTTGATCAAAATTCGCCAGTCAATGGGGCACCGAAATAAATTTTGTTTAAAAATATTTGCTTGAGGCAGATTTATGCGTAGAATAAATGGGTGGCAAGTTAGGCAGGGCGCGCCCTAGAAGAGTTGGAGAGTCGCCTCCGCCAATCTGCAATGCAAATGAGTGAAGAGGAAGAGGATAACGAGAGGGTCGCCCCCGTATTAAACATAAACCCCGCATTACTGTGTGGCAATCCATAGTTAAACTCATCAGCAAACACCAAGGACTGCTCCGCGTCCCCAAAGCACAATGGTAACCGTGTTTTTTAATCCTAGGACTGAGCCCGTGTGCTGGATAAAAACAAGGAGCTCTCATAAAATTACGAATCCCGCAGCGACTACGAGATAATGGCATCACAAGCGGCCCTCAGTACGATCCAGTCCAATTTTGCTTCTTTGTTGGATGTGGAAAATATGACAAAAAAAATGCCTTGAAAATATTTCTTGATACTAATGATTTTGGGATGAGAATTGATGTTGGGAAGCTGCATCATGACCGTCATATAATTAACTCGGTATAAATTTCAAGCTATCTAACGGGTCCATTTGACGGGTCCATTTGACGGGTCCATTTGACGGGTCCATTTTCCGTTCAGTTGACCGTCCATTTGGCGGGTCCATTTTCACTTGTGTAAACAGAGCAGTTTTAAAAGACTTAGGTGAGCATCATTATATCACGCAAACTCACATGTAATAATAGTCAAACTAACATAGTTTATATGAAAAATATTAACGTTCGAGTAACCTATGTAAATCGTGACACAAGTTTATATTGTTAATGTAAAATTGACTCTCATATAATTCCAGGTCCGTTTTAATTAGGTCTTAAGAGCACAAATGTTGAGAAATGCATTGTTCTTCAAGCATTTTAATGAAAGTACGGATTTGATTACATAAAATGATTCGCAATGAACAAATTAAAATAATTTGAAGAATATCGTAGAAGGAACAGCATAATACAATTTGTTCAAAAACATCAATGATGTCAGTACTAAGCATCAGTGACATCAGTACTAAATATCAGTGATGTCAGTACTAATCACCATTCTTGGCATTACTAAATACAACTACATTTCGACGTGTCTAGCACCTACTTTCGACTACGGTATACAAGTCTACGTGCAACCAAACAAACGAAAGTGCATAGAAGTGTACATTTGTACATGGGAGTGTACATTTGTACACGGGAGTGTACATGTGTACATGGGAGTGTCCATGTGTACTTGGGAATAGTGCATGTAACAAATCTACTGGTCTGTGCAGGCAGTGATGCCAGACGCTCTACACAGAAACTCGAAAAAGTGCAAAAATAAGGACGCTGCCTGCTTGAGGTAGCGTGTAGGGGAGGTGCAGGCTGGGCAGGTAGACACAAAGCAAGTCTGATGATCTGTGTGCAAGGCAGGCCAGATAGGCCACGACAGGCAGGCAGGCAGGCAGGCTTTGGCAGGCCAGGTGTAGGTCTCCAGGCTACTGCCGACGTTACCTGTTAATGGAGGACACGGAGGGTACGTTCTCCTGGGTACAAACACTCTCCGCAAGCAGCCTGTCTCTGATCTCCCAGGCGAACATGGTGGGGTTCTCCCGTTTATACCTGGCAATGGCATCCACCACCAGGGGAGTCGCTACTTTGGGTTTGGAACCGCCAATGACACCGGCTTTGTAGCTCCCAGTCTCGTAATATCTAGAAGAGAACGACGAGTTTTGGGTTAGATATTGCTGCTCCGTCACCCACCTGTTTATGCTGGATACGGTCGGCTCTCCCTCCTGGTCGCACACGCCATCAGACAGAAGCCGCTCCCGAATCTCCGTAGCAACATAGGGGAGTTCTGCTTCTTGTAGTTGGTGAGTGGCATCTACCACTGTAGTGTGTGGCCACTTTGGGCTTAGAGCCGCCGATCACACCTGGTCTGATGGAACCCGTCTCATAGTACCTGCAAGAATGGAGGTTGTGTGTGTGTGTGGATCACGAGAAACGCCATCATTAACCAGGGTTAGTCGCAATCCGGATCCCCGCCTCCACCACAGTCCTCTGGTTACGAGTGTTAACTGGTTAGTGTAAACGAGAGGGGCAGTTAGTAGGAGCATGAAGTCTAGTAATAAGCTAAACAACTTTAAATAAATATTGTTACATTCCCGTGTTAATTTATATATATATAGCAATACTCCCATGCAATATATCTATATCTATATATATATACATAGATTTTATTGATGCTAGTAAGTCATAACTCGAGTAAGTCTACACTTACCATTTTCGTTTGGGTAAAATGATTTTGGAATTTCTGGCAGGTAAGGTTATGAAGTTAGTTTGGGTTCAAATTTGCATTCATATATTTATCCATACATGGAAAACTATATATAATCGAAATGAATTGTAAAGGAAAATCATGCTTTTTGGCAACTTTGACAACAATTACGAAATTCCAAGGAATAAAAAAAAGAAAGAATAAAGTAAATGAAAAGCTCCAGGAATGTGTAAATAAAAATAGCCTGATATCAGCAGGACATTTACTCTAACCATAAACTTTGGTTAGTTTATGGTTCATTTGAATTTGGACATCAGCGTTTAAGGAAAGTTCTGAGATAAATAATAAAGCTGATGCCATCTATCGGCAGAAAAATGCACTATCAACATATTAGTTTAGCAACAGCCCATACGATACAACTAATGTCATCTATTGCCATAAAATTATACTGTCAACGGACCAGCAGAACAAGAATACAGTTAATGCCATCTATGGCAATACATTGCACTACCAAAACCTGAACAGCAGCCCCTAAGGCGAGTTATTTTACTGAAGAAAGCATTTCCGCGCTTCCATTTCATTTGAAAAAACATTTTTAACATTAGATAGGGGGATATATGGATGGAATATATGGAGTAGATTGATGGAAAGTTGAATAGATAATAAATAGATTAATAGGTGAATGGATACAAAGATAGATACAAAACAGATGGATAGAGGGGATTGTTAGAATTTTTTTTGCAGGTATATTCCTGCGCGGGCCCTAAGCCTCTGGCTGGCCCACTAAGTGCTGCTTATTTCCGTTTTACTTGGGCGGAGTATGAGTATTTATGACTCGTATGGTCGCTTCGGTAAGATTTTGCCATATGTGTTTAACAACTTCTTCTGCTCTGTTGAATCTAAGTTGAAATCTTAATGGGTTTGAAACTGTGCGCTGTGTTAGATAATGTTCCAGTGGTCTGTCGGGCATTTCTCCACAGTGCTGACATTTCCTGATGGATAGATGAATGGATAGGTTGGTAGATAGATCGATTGATAGTCAAAAAGATAGATAAATAGAAGTAACATAGCTGTAGTGTTGGGAGACATGTTTATCGAAATTTAAAATATTGATCAGAATACCGCTATTCTGCTTTTGAAACATTACAACCACTTAAAAATAGAGAGAAAGACGTACTTCATTATATCATAACCTTTATAAAAATATATATCAGTCATTTAGCACATCAGCAACCGTGTTTACATCGTCTCATACATCATCAACCATGTACACGGCCTCTCACACATCAACATCAATGTATTCCTCAGCATACATGAACACATCATCTCGTATATCACATCCATTTGAAGATAATTTCGCACCGCAGTCACTATGTATATATCGTATATCAGCATCAATGTATACACGATCACGTCCATCGGCATCCATATATAATACATTCATCTAGTACACTCACAACACCAGGTGCAGACAGCTAACGAGGATGCAATATTAATATTAATATCAATATTAATGTTAATATCAATATTAATATTCATATTTAGTACCAGTCCAAGCCAATATCTAATGCGCTTACACGTAGGACTCCCCTGCACTCTGACCTGACATGCAGGCAGCGTGGGAGAAAGCCATTAACATAATTCTCTTCTGTTATCATTCCTCTTGCGGTCCACGTAATGGGGAAAAAAATGATCGAAGTCGTCATTGACCTTTGACCTCTCCAATATGCTCTGCTTTACAGGGCTAGAATATCGTCAGTAGATTCGCCATTTCAGCTATGTATATGTTTTAATTTATACGCAAGTCTGTTATATTTCTCTCTTTCTCACTGAACCAATTGACCTTTCTTTTGTTTGGTTTCTATACACTCTTGGCCCGAACCTTATGTGTGTGAGGTATAGTTGGTGCAGTATACCTATCTTGAACAGCAACAGCAGCAGGGGCTGACACAGTTGCAGTAACAGCAGCCGGGGTGTACACAGCTGCAGCAACAGCAGCAGGGGCTGACACAGCTGCAGTAACAGCAGCAGGGGCTGACACAGCTGCAGCAACAGCAGCAGGGGGCCGACACAGCTGCAGCAACAGCAGAAATAGCAACGGAAGTAGCAGCACCGCCAGCATCAATAACAATGGTACCAGCTACAACACCACCTCCAGCAGCAGCACAAGCAGCGGCAGCAGTGGGTACAGCACCCCTAGCAGCAGCAGCCGCAATGGCTACAGCAACACTAGCAGCGGCAACACTAGAGCAGCAGCAGCAGCACTGGCAACACTAGCAGCGGCAGCAGCACTGGCAACACTAGCAGCGGCAACACTAGAGCACCAGCAGCAGCAGCAGCACTAGCAGCAGCAGCAGCAGCAGCACTAGCAGCAGCAGCACCCACGTAGCCCCCGCCATAATTCTTGGCCACACCCGCGGCACCAGCTCCCCCACGCCGCCACCGCCGCGTCTTAGGCCCTCCACTGCGGCGCCTGATTGGATTATGCAGATGAGCAGCAACACATGGTTTGAGTCATTTCCCGCTACACTCAGGAGCCGTTCTGAGCGGCGGAGGAAAAGAAGGGGGATAAGACGTGTACACACTGGGAAAGAAAGTTGATACTGAGAAGGAAAGTAGGTACTGGGAAGGAAAGTAGGTACTGGGAAGGAAAGTAGATACTGAGGGGGATTGTAGACAGTCACCGAGATAGCATAGGTCGCAAGAACATCGAAGAAGGAGGTATGTAAGAACGCTGATAAAGGAGGGAAGTGGAGGCAGAGAGAAACCTGAAAATGAAGGAAAAGCTGAATAAGGATGATAAAGCACAGCAGCAGTAAAGGGAGATGGGGAAGTGACAGCAGCAGTAAAGGGAGATGGGGAAGTGACAGCAGCTGTAAGGAGAGACAGAGGGAGTGACCGCAGCAGTAAGGTGGGACAGAGGGAGTGACAGCAACAGTAAAGGGAAGACGATGGAGTGACAGCAGCTGCAAGGAGAGACATGGGAGTGACAGCAGCTGCAAGGAGAGACATGGGAGTGACAGCAGCTGCAAGGAGAGACATGGGAGTGACAGCAGCTGCAAGGAGAGATATGGGAGTACAGCAGCTGCAAGGAGAGACATGGGAGTTACAGCAGCTGCAAGGAGAGACATGGGAGTGACAGCAGCTGCAAGGAGAGACATGGGAGTGACAACAGCAGTAAGGATACCAAGGAGTGACGTCACAACAGTAAGCGTTCACGGACCACTGTTGTCGGCGTGTACCGGAATACTGTTGTTAGCTTGCCCGAACTTCTGGTGTTGGCGTGCGTAAGAGTGCCGTTGACGCGCACACGAGTGTCGTTGCGTGCATGTGTGTGTTGTTGCGTGCACATGAGTGTCGTTGACGCGCACATGAGTGTCGCTGACGCACACTCGAGTGTCGTTGCGTGCACGTGTGTGTTGTTGGCCCTCCCATACCTGGCATTTTTGTGGTCAATTTCTCATATTGCTTGCAGCATCGTCAGTGAATAAGGTGTCGTTTTCTTGTTTACAAACACACATCTAGCCTGACTTAGTTGGTATTGAAGAGTCCGAATCTTAGCAGATTAATGGAGGTTCGAGTCACGGCTCTCAAATTAAATACCAATCAATTGCTTCTCTCTCTTGACTAAATTATGAATCTGATGCAGTTGAGGAGTTTGTAAGTATCGTTGAAACGCGAACAGTTCGTTAGTTTAACCTGCTGTAAGGCGAGACCAAGTGGGGTGGTCGGGATTATGCCGAGGTCGTTAGAACACCGATGGATGCCCAGACGAGCGCTTAACGCGTTCAGGATTTTATACCTCAACAAGAAAGCAGATTGTCACGAAGTATCTAAATGTCATTATACTTCTCGGGTAAAATTTTGCAAGGTGGCAGGGGTGTACCGGATGGCACTCGATGCTCCGCTCCTCTTGCCCCATCTCACTCGTCAACGGCACTCTGGCACCCTCACTCCCCTAGTACCCTTCCCTGTGCCAGGTGCAGGCACTACCAAGCCCCTCCTCACCACCGCCCCTTAGAGACAGGCGGCTTCAGAAGTGACAGACGGGATGCTATCTGGCCCTTGCCAGTTCATCTACATCTCTTTTTGTTGCTCTGAGATTAGTCCGGCCTTTGTGTATGTTCGTCTGAGTTAACGACACACTTGGACGGAGAGGTAAACTGTTTGGAGAGATTGTGGCCATGATAGAGGAATGTTTATGTTCCTCCCACCACACCACACGCATAATGCCTCTCCAGTCGGATTGAAACCTGTGAAGATTGAATCTGGTTTTCTCTGCTTAATTCACAGGAACCTAGAATTCAGCCCAGATAATTTTCAGGTAGTCTACTTCATTGTCTGTCTGTCTGTCTGTCTGTCTGTCTGCCTCTAGTTATTTGTTCTTCTTCTTGAAGCCCTTCAACGTCTTCTCCCGTCTCAGGTCAAAGGTCAGGAGGAGGGAAGCGACGAGGTTCATTGGGCTCAATAAAGTTGTTCGTCTTCACCAATCTGTGAAACCTCTCCAAGTGTCAAGACACTACACAAACTCCTTTACTCATAATTATAATAAAAAGGTGTGTGTGTGTGCTAGGCAGTCTCTGGAGCCGTCAGGAGGCGATCTCCAAGTCCGCGTTGTAAATTCTTTTTAGATCAAGCGTGTCTATAGTCAAATAACGAAGTTATAAAAGAGACATTTCTGTGGT